TATGTGAGAAATGAAGAAGTGTTAATTAGAGTCAGTGAGCAGAGGAATATCCTACACGAAATAAGAAAACGGAAGGCTAATTGGATTGGTCATGTTTTACGCAGAAACTGCCTTCTAAAAGAAGTTATTGAAGGAAAGATAGAGGGGCGGATAGAAGTGACAAGAAGACGTAAGAAGATGCTGGATGACCTTGGGGACAGAAGAGGATACTGTCATTTGAAAGAGAAATCTCTAGATCGCATTAAGTGGCGGATTTGTTTTGGAAGAGACTGTGGACTTGTCGTCTGACAGATTACTCATGATGATGATGATGATGATGATGATCAGGTGTTACAAATATGTCATTTTCACAACAGACTCATACTACTGCGTGGCAATCAAGTGGACCTTATTGTTTATATATATAATCATGTATAAATGGTTTCAAGCACACTAATCTCACACTGTTCACTAACAGTCTTATTTTTCTACCCAGAGGATGGGTCGTTTCACACAATATCTACACGACGCCACATCCAAGAAGACGGCATTCTTCATAATCAACGCCGTGAAAACCTCAAATCTTACACAGAAAATAATGTTTGTAGAATTGGATAGATAAGCTTCATTGAAGTGAATCGTGCCACCCATGTNTATTTACAAATATATAATATAGTATTATATTAACCAGTAATGGAGTTCTACTTTCAAGTCCTCAAGAACCATCCAGCCGACCTTGATGTCCCACCAGTGGGTCGCGTACGATGGGTTGATAAACGCTGTTCTAACCCTGTGTCACGCCGTTCGTCGCTTCCCTGTTCCAACATTCTGCATAGCTAACCTGGACAGCCATTTTTCTCTATACTTGTAACTTTCGGATGCTTGAGATGGAAGCTCTGAAATTACACAATTTCGGGTACCACAGCAACAAACTGTCGAGAGTTTGCAGGGCGTGTAAACGAAATATTACGCAGTAGGTCACGAATGAGCTGACGATGGAAACATATCAGTTTTCCGAAACGTTTTTGAGAGAGTTTAAGGCAACGCTATCCCTATGCTTAATTAACGTGTATGGGGGAGTGAGATCAGCTTCACGGCCCGGTCACTTTAACCTCAAAGGAAGAAGCGCCAGGTACCAACTGGACAGGAGGCTTGTTAGACTTCAGAGGCGGTCTTGAATGTTGTGGAAAACAAACTCTGTGGCTTTAGTCCGCAAGTGAACCATATCGACCGAGCGACCGCCGCTTGTCGGCGAAGTTAGTGTCAACTTTAGCGGATAGAGCATGTCGCGTGGTCAGCGCAACGAAACCCCACAGCCGTTAATTTCGATTTTCTCAAGCGGACTTGAATGCTCTGAAGAACAGAAAAATTTCTTTCCCTTCCCGGGATCGAACCCCCAAGTGTCCAGCCCAGTCGTTATACCAACTACGTTTTCGCGGCGCTCTTCAAGACCATGGCAAATGCCCAAAATAATCTTGTTTATCGTCATTATATGTCCGACACGTGCAAGGGACCGGACGGCGTCCATAACCCGCCGTATCTGTGATGCTGTTAGGTCCTGTCTCGGGTCTCCCGACGGCAAATTTGAATGAATAAATGAAAACCACGTACCACAGCCCCAGTCTTAATAATGTATCGGCGATGTGACGTTTCCTTCGTTTGTTTAGCTTTGTTTCTTTATTTCAGTTTGTTTCTTTAATTCTTTTTCTCTTCTGTTTACTTCCATTCTCTCTGTTCAAGTAACTCCTCCTTCAGAATCAAACAGTCGCTCAGCCACTCAAGCAATTCCCTGCCATCTATGGGGCTCGAATATTAACTTCCATGTTCAAAACAAGCCGCCACTGATCGTCATCCTAAATCATATGAACAAATCCAAGTCTTGCAGCGTATTTTTCAAAGGCCAATTTCAATGTACTTCCCCATCTACAAACGTGTTGTCCTCTTTCAGCATCTCAAGCCATATTTTTTTTTTTTCACTCACATGCTTGTTACACGCCCCGCCCATCTCAACCTTCTTGGTTTTGTCATCCTAAAAATGTCTACTAAACAGTAGCCCTACAAATATGGGGGCACGTTTTTCAAGCTTTCCGCCCCTTTACTCCCCTTTAGATCCAAATATTGTCCTCAGCACCCTGTTCTCAAGCACCCCTAACTTTAGAGCCACATTCTGGGATATTACGTCGCGTAGACTCGTGAATGTTTTGCTAGACTATACAGCGTTACACCCCAGTTAGTCATCCTTCCACAGGATAGCAGCTACACGAGTACAACTGAGAAGTTCTTACGAGAAAATAATAATCGTTGTCCTTGTAGCGACGTGCTTCTGCATCTAGGTTTGATTTCGTGCTGCAGATGTGAAGCTAAGCAAACGTAAGCTTTCTCTTCCCCTAGTCACTTGCATCTGTGCCGAGGTCAAGAAAACTGGAGCTATACCGCCACTCCTGCATGTCTGCATGGCATAGTGCTTACCTTATCCCCTCCTCTTCTCTTTAGCCGATCGTCAGAGGGTACGAAAATGACGGACAAGGCCAAGCGGCACAGTGGCCACGCGGAAGAATTTTTCGCGTCTGTCCACGGTTCATTTCCGCCACAGCAGTAAACACGTCCCATGCTGATGGTGATGGACTTTGTAGATTAAATTTGTTTGTCTGTACTTTTACGTCAATGATATGAAGGAGAATATATGTAGGTTCCATC